GGAACCAGATCTTAAGTACCTGTTCCGGGCCACCAGAAGTTCCCAGGCGACTTGAACTACTTGAAATTGGGCGGCTGCACTCGCGTCTGCGCTCCTTCAGCCGCCCAATTTCCTGCCCGGATGACGACTGTAGATCTAGGCTCGGTGAAAAGCAATGATGACGAGAACTTTTGCAATCCTTTCTCTGACCGGGCTAAATTCGTCCCATTTTTGCTAAAAGCACTATATTCAGATACGTTTCAAGCATTTTTATGTGAATGCAGACGTGTTTCGTATAAGCTGCTTTGACGCCAGTGGGTTAGGACTTGTGGCAAAAGTTTATAGTGGCCTTCATAACAAAAGTATTAGCGAGCTGGTCATTCAAGGTGAGCTACAACTCATTCTCATATCGAGGAAATAATATATCCCAACTTAGGAGAACCTAAGAAACCTCGACCAACTGGTTTCAACATCAACAACATGTCGATTTCGATTCTGGGTTTTGACAGTACATCGCGAGCGCAATTCTTCCGCCACATGACAAAGACTACTGCGGAGATGAAGAAGATGGGATTCGTCACGCTTCAGGGCTATAACAAGGTGATCTAGTCGTCTCTACCTGAAAGTGAAAATCAGAAGATAAGATAAGAAGGTCAGAGGAAACGATTGCAAGCTGTGCAGTATAGCATTAAGATCGTAAGCAATGGTGGGCGACAGCCAGTCTGTCTCATGGGACGATGTCAGACAATGCTGTCTGACAGTACATTGCTCTAATAATAAAGATGTGCAAACAACCAAGTTCGTTCAAATCGTGTCCCTAGGGCTAGCTTGACGCTCTGAAACGAACATCACAGTTGCTTGGCGCAAACTACCTGGCGCCCGCGTCACGCCGGCGCCGGCGCCTAGAGTACCATAGATCACCAAATTAGCTGAAAACTTGCCTTGGGATGGCTTGACCCCCTCAACATGAAATCACGATTCGCCTTTGCAAGGAACTGCTGCGCGCCCTCACAATTCAGGCGCCGCCTTGCCAAAATACTTGTAGTGCAGCCAAATTCGCCTGAAAACTTGTATTCCGAGTGTCGATCCTCTTGAGTGATGAATCACACCTGCTCAAAGCCAAACTGGCTAGCATTGGTATTATAAGGCGCGGCATGATATGCGTACGCACTGTATGCTGATGTCGCGCGAAACTATCTGCCAGCAGTTTCGCTCCAGCGCGAATGCGGAAGTCATGTTTGGGAGGTTCAACTATTCCGAGGCGGATTGTCTGATGGTCTCCCCAAATCTTTTCTCAGAGAAAAATTTAGGTAAGAACTGGCCTGATTTTGGAAGACAGGGGCATGGTGGAAGCGTTGAAAGTGTGTCAAAGATTCAGATTTCGGTATCGCTACCCAGGCATTTTTAATGCTCCTCGGATCAGAATCATTGTATTTATTGTGGAAATTACTGTAATTTCGAACGAAGAAAGATGCCCCGCTTCCGATGGATTAAGCTCATGAAGAAAATTGGCTGTCGTTCAACGCTCACATTCCGTTAAACAACTTGATAAGCGTGTTCGAGATTGGTGCGGTGTCGTGTCGTTGAGTGCCCATTCAAGTCGCGGCGAAAGCGCCCGCGATTTCAGATTCCCATTGCTGTATCTATGGACTGTCGTTGGAGCACATGGTCTGCATTGAATCACGGCGTCTTCGACAAATATTTCGTTTGCAGATCGTCCGTTCCTCATCCCTTGAAGTTTGAACGGCTCCATGACACAACAAAGCTCGTACGCAGCAGCTGCGGCGCCGCCAGCCATCAACGCGGCGCAACGCTCCATAATTTGCGTTCATACTTTAGTGTCAAATAGCGACCACCAGCGTCCACCAGCTACCATCAGGTGTCTCAAGCGTCTGTTCAGCGTCAGCGACGAGGACAGTATAGGTATCGATCTGGCGTCCATTAGCGACTATCAGCGTCTCGAGGAACTACGAAAGTATGGATATCGGTTCAGTGTCCCCAGCGTTCACGAGCGACCACCAAGTCACCAGGAATACAGTGCTGTAGCAGTATGGTGCGGTTGCACACGCCACAATTCCAGGACGCCTAATCCAGATGTCTTCTCCTTCTTACTGCCCCATACTCTGCCGGCAGTCTGCCACCCTCCTACTTCCCCAGACTGTAGTCCTGGTCTCTGCTGGACGCTGGTAGACGCTAGATCGATACTTTTCAGTCGCTGACGCTGACGGACGCTGATGGTCAGTGGTGGACGCAGCCTAATGAACTGATACAGAACCGAGCGATCCTCGACCAATTTTAAGCTGATTGAAGCCAGATATAAAATATCCCCTCCACACATTCTTAATAGGAAGCCTTACAAAAGTGCTTGGAATCTATTCTCTGAGGTCAGCTCCATCATTTCCAAACTGCTGTTTCTAGGTAGGAGACAACAGCATGGTGAATCTTCTGCCAATTCTTGCACAACAACTGGATGAAGGTATGAGGAGGCCCACCAGCGGTGTACAGCGTTACTTTCTCGTTAAGGGAAAATGTACATTTCCATAGCTAGTTGACGTGTGAGACCCAGAGAGGCGACAAGTCGTAATGCTGCCACGTGGCATTGAGTGGGTCCTGGTGCGAATGCTACGCGTATCACTCCGATTGCAACGCCTTTTTTAGGCGTGCTCCACGCGACTAGGAAGTAATGCTGTGCACCCGCACTTACATCCGGCTCCTCAAAGGCTTGGCTCTCATTCTTGATAATTCCTGTTCAGGTCTTGAGTTCCCGGAATTTGACGATTCGGCGATGTCAACATTCAACGTTTCCATCCATCAAATAAAACAATCGATCCTGACACGATAAAATTTATATGGAAGGACATGAAGAGTAAGAGTTCCTTCGACGCCGTATTTTAAATATTTCGCTCAACTACTACAACCTCAGCCAAAAAGAAAAATTTTTTGAAAATTCTTGTTTTGAAAGAACGCTTGCCAACGGCGCCTCGCGGTTCCTTCTGGGGAGTTGTTTGACTATGTTCAATGACTATGTGTTTTTTCGGGCCCATGTGTCGCCACCTGCATGGAACTGCAGCTGCAGACAGCATGTCACTTTCTGCCGATAAAGCTTCGCAGGAACGGGCCCTGGAGGTAGTGTACCCGAGTGCCGCTCCTGACCTACCGCCCGCGCTACCCTCAAGGTGCAGCTCTTGCTGCGACACCGAAATACCGCAGTGAACAAAGCGTCGAATGTAGAAAGCAAACATAAGTGAGAGGGCTACGGTCATGCGTGTGCCTAAGAGCGCTCAGATTCACGATCGTGCGATTGGACGCGCGATCGATCGCTCGATCGCGCGTCGAATCGCAGCGAGGGGGGGGGAGGTTCATGTTTGCTCATAGTTCATAAGTTTATGTTCTGTTGTTTGTTTTGTTTGTTTTTAGGTTTGTCCGGCCAGTTCTGAAAAACGACTATTTCAAACAACAGAGAAAACTCTTTGGAGCGACGACTTCAACGAAAGAACAAACCTAAAACAGCACAAAACAATAACCGTAAACATAATACATGAAACATGAACAAAACATGAACCCCTCCCCCGCCTGTTATCGGCCATCCCATACCGCGATACGATCGAGCTATCCGATCGCGTGCGATCCCGATCTTCACGATCACGCGAAGAATGAACCGATCTAACGTGCGGCAGCGTGGATATCGAGAATGGCACCTCGGGTGTCGCAGCCTCTTTTCCGTGCGCGTTCGTGTGCCGGGGGCCAATTGACACGTCAGCTGCGGATGCCCATTCTATTCCGCACCGAGCAGCGACAAGGATCCCCGAGGTGGGAGTTTACTTTTTTTTAAGGAAAAGGATGCACAACAATGTACAACGACGACATCATGCACACTGGAAGAGGGCTCTTTCACTACGGACCAATTAATTTTCCAAAAAGGTATCAGGAGATTCAGGCAGCGATCATAACATCGTCATACACGGTCAGTTGATTAGGCGTCGAAAGACCGCAGCGCGTGCCAAGGAACTTTTGCTTTTCAGGCTTATTTAGTCATTTTTTCCACCTTGTGAAGATAAGGAGCTGCTAATCTGGGAAAAAGTAGCCAAAACAGTGAAAAGTTGGTAAATTAGTCTGGAAAAAGCAAATAGTTCCTGGCACGCGCTGCGGCCCGTTGACGACCGCCCTAAAAATAACTGCCCGCGAATCGAACGAGGGTACCATTGCCGGCAGACGTCCAACCAGCGACCAGCATTTTTTCTTATGGTTATTGAAGTATAGATATACATCCTTTTCGTCTCAGCCAGTGTTCACGACTGTGTGCACCAGACGTCCCACTAGGCGATCAAGCAGCGCCCGAGGAGTTTTATCCACTATTGCCACCGACTATATACTCTACCAGCGTCTGCGCTGTTGCGCTGGCGACGCTGGTAGACCGCTGGCAGACGACTGCGATAGACTGACTATACTTTATGTGATCGATAGTGCCGACCCTATGATGCATCGACGATCGACGCTGCGCAAAGTATGAACTCAGTCTAAGTGTGATAGCAAAGAATCTTCCTCAGGTTTTCTCCATCGACCGACTGACCATTACTATCGCGCTTATTACCTCCAAGTTTTTTCAAGTGCCGTGAATTTTTTACATTGGAAACTACATGGTCCTATATCTAGGTTCTTGGCGCTTCGAATGTTGCACGCTAAAAAATTTCGACTTTATTTGAAGGATTTGGCGAACCAAGTGCAACATTGCTACCAAGGCGAATTCCTACACTCGCAATTCCTTGAGATATGGTACCGTTTCGCGAAGGCTTATGCACACACGTGTAATTTCAGTTTCAGCTTTTTAACCAGGTGAGCGATCTTCCACCTGACTTGACGACAAAAGTCTACACTTGACTAATGATCAGGTTGAAAGGTGGAGGAGTGCTTAAACTGGCATGGTCCGTACAGTCGGAAGGCAACCCCAGCTAGCCGTCGACGTCATCTTTGCTACCAATCTTGCCTCTCACAATCGGGTTCGCGGCAGGCATTGCAACAAGGGCACGTCTTGTTGTTGGTGGAAATTTTCCTGGAAACATGACCCACCCCTCAAAATTTCCTCCCCTAGTACAACACCCACCCCCTCCCCCACCCTCGCACCAGGGTGACTCACTTTTGCCACTTCGCAGATGCACCTTCCACGCAGAGCAAAATTGAATAAATTTCAGTTACTGACTTCAGATTTTATGTACAAGGTATAAGAATTGCAATATTGGGCAGTTCACCCATGATCACCCACTACGAATTTTTTTTGAGCTGCTTGATGACATCCTCAGTGAACAACTGCGAGATTTAAGGGTAAATGCTGGCTTTTTCGCGTGAAATGGATGTCATCGAACTTATCAAAACTCGCTTTGAGGAATCAGGAGCACTACAAAACACTCTTTTGATAATCATGGGTGACCATGGCAATCGTGTGACCAGAATGAGCAGAACGTTTGCTGGGAGGATAGGTAGGATCTCGTCATTTTTAGCTTTCATTAGACTTTATAACGAGCGAAGAGGATGGTTCCAGCTTTTGGGAAAGAGAGCGTTGTTTTATTAAACAGAAAAATCAACCTATACCGCCGCTATGTTCTCAGCCTCGA